GCAACCAATGCAAACATATGTATGCATATATACATATATTTTTGAATATATATTCAGATGCTGGAGCCTCTCAGTGGTAGAGCACTATACTCAGTGATAGAGCACTAATCTGCCATGCATGGGGCCCTGTGTTTCATCTCTGGCACAAAACAAACCAACCAACCAATGACAGAAAATGGGACATAGAATGCATTTACAATAGTGGTAGCATGCTTGCCTAGCATACAGGAGGCCTTGACTCCAACCTCCAGTATTAGGGAAAGGAAAATGGGCCACAGGAAAAAAAAAGTTGGTAGATTTTATACACATGCAAAATCCCCAAATAAAACAAATACTTAGGAGGCAGAGGCTGGAAGACTTTTCAAGTTCAAGGCCAGTCAGAGATACATAGCCATATTATATAGCTGTCTATATATTCTGATCTCTCTCTCTCTCTCTCTCTCTCTCTCTCTCTCTCTCTCTCTCTCTCAAGAGATATTTTTCCTATTGCTGGTGACTGAACCTAGGGCCTCATGCATTAGCTAGCAAGAGCTGTGCCACTGAGTTACATCTCCCACTTTAAAAAAAAAATTGGCTTTCCAATCCGCCATCTGTGGTGGAACCGCCACCAGGATGCAGATTTTCGTAAAGACCCTTACAGGGAAGACCATCACGCTCGAGATTGAAACCTTGCACACTACAGAAAATGTAAAAGCCAAGATCCAGGATAAGGAAGGAATTCCTCCTGATCAGCAAAAGCTGATCTTTGCTGGGAAACAGCTGGAAGATGAACTTTGACTACAACACTCAAAAGGAGCCCACCCTTTATCTTGTGTTGAGACTTTGTGGTGGTGCTAAGAAAAGGAAGAAGTCTTACACCACTCCCAAGAAAAATAAGTATAAGAGAAAGAAGGTGAAGTTGGCCATCCTAAAATACTATAAGGTGGATGAAAATGGAAAAATTAGTCGCCTTTATCAAAAGTGCCCTTCTGATGAATGTGGTGCTGGAGTTTTCATGGCCAGCCACCTTGACAGACATTACTGTGGCAAGTGCTGTCTGACTTACTACTTCAGCAAACTAAAAGACAAATAATTGTGTATGAGTTAATAAAAAGACCAGAACTGAAAAAAAAAAAGCTTTTGGTTACAAGATCTCACACAGCACAGGCTGGGCTCTAATCTTTTACTTTCAGTGTAGTGGGAGATGGCCTGACCTTCTGATCCTCCTGCCTCCACTTCCTGAGTACCTGACAATACAGGCTATATTAGTCACTTTTCTGTTGCTGTGATAGAAACACTGACCCAAGCAGTTTATAGAAGGAAGAGTTTATTTGCGCTTACATACAGTCCGTCATGGCAGGGAGGCATGGTGACTGGATGTAGGAAACCAGGATGCCAGGCCCTAGGGTGAGTTGAGCCTAAAACTTTTAAGTCCAGGCTGCATTCTCTGATAAAGGGAGGGGCACTGAAAACAGTGACTCTGGTTATCCCTGTCTTGCAGACCACTGCTAGACTGGCAGGAGGAAGCAGCCTGGTCATAAAAGTGCAGGCTCCCTGCTCTGTAGGAAAGTGTCTTGGTCAACAACCCTTAGCTCATCTCCTTGTCCTGAACAAATAACTCAGCTATCCCTAGCTAAGAGATTGGGCCAGGTTTACTCCTGAGCTAAAAGCTAAAAGTTCACTATGTTTTAGCTCTAAGAAAGAAAACACTGTGGCCAATAAATTACTGGATGGGCATTGATAACCTTGAGTAAAAGTTTAAGAATCCTTCTGGCGCCAACTAACAGACTAAATGTCCTGTTTCTTTGTACCCTAAATCTTTGTATGTGACTGCCATATCCCACATGACTACTAGTTCCTTGGGATGTATAAAAACCATCTTAATTTTAAAATAAATTGGCTTGTTGGAAAGACACAGGTTCCACGGTCTAAGACTGTCGCTGATCAAGTCCTCTGCCCTGAAGCCGGTAGGCCCCCAGCTAAGCAAAGCAAGCCTGAGTCCCAACAGCTGGAGGTGGTTGGAGCAGGAGCAGTAGAAGCTAAACTCTCACATCATCACACAGGCACAGGAAGCAAGAGGGTGACTGGAGATCTGGCAAGGCTTAAGAATTCTCTAAGCCCATGCCCGCAGTGACGTGCTTCCTCCAGGATAGCCACATCTTCTAAAACCTCCCAAAACAGCACCGTTATCTGGGGACAAAATGTCCAAACACTTGGAGCCTATGGGGGACATTTTCATTCAAACCACCACACAGGCCTTGAGCAATCCCAAGCACTAGGATTATAGGCATCCATGACTGGCAGATCTGTTTTTGTTTGAGACAGCATCCAGAAGCTCTGGTGGCTGGCCTATGTTACCCAGGATGGCCTTGAACTCACAGTGGTCTTTCTGCTAGGCTTACAGTCATACATCACCATGCTCAACTAGATTTTCAGTTGTTGCTGTTTTTGCTTTTTAATGTTTTTTTTGGGGGGGGGTCTTTTTTGAGACAGAGTCTCCCTGCAGCCCCAGCTGGCCTAGAAATCACTATGTAGACCAGGCTCACAGAGATCTGCCTGCCTCTGCCTCCTGTCCCGAGTGCTGGGATTAAGGGCATGTGCCATCACACCTGGGTTTAATGAATTTTTTTATTATGTCTATGAATGTTTTGCTTAAATGTATGTAAGCGCACCCATGTGTGCAATGCCAACAAGGCCAGAAGAGGGTGTTGGAGCCCTTGGAACTAGAGTTATAGATGGCTGTTAGCTGTCATGTGGGTGCTGGGAGCTGAACCTGGGTCTTCTGCAAGAGCAGCCAGTACTCTTAACTGCTAGCCATCTTAACCAATATGCCATCTCTCCAGATATCTAAATAGATACAAAACATGATGTAGGGACATACAGATGGTAAGATTACTATAATGTAACAAATGAACTTAGCTATCACTTACAGTTACCTTGATTTTTGGAAAGCCTGCTCATACAGAACAATTTTATTGCCTATCATATTGTATAGTTCTGTAGGACCGCCAGACTGGGGTACCCTACTTTCTCGGGAGGCCACACCCCAATAACTCAGTTCTCAAACCAGTAGATGCAATAACATGAGGATTTATACCTTGATCAAAAGGGGAAGTCCAGATTCAGCTTAGAAACTTGGTTATATAGACAGAAACCACAAACCGCAAAGAGCAGTGGGAGGGGCTAGTATTCAGGTCACAGCAGAAATGCTTGGTCACAACAGAGCAGAAGTGGGAGGGGGATTTTTCAGGTATTTTTTCAGCTTGAGCAAAGAACCATGAAAAGGTCATCTTTTCTTCTCTACAGTTAGAATTATTTTCTTTTTACTTCCTTGTACAGTTTCCCAGAATATAGCCTGGGAAACTTAGTTTCAGTTTACTTTAATCTGGGTGGGGCGCTCTGATTTGATTCCATCAATGTCTTTCCTTAATTTCAGGAAATTCTCTTCTACAATCCTGTTTAGGATCTGATCAACACCATTAAACTGAAATTCTTCTCCTTCCTCTATTCCTGTGATCCATAGATTTGACCTTTTCATGGTGTCCCACATCTCTTGCATATTCCATTTCTGTGTTTTTAAAAATTTTCCATAATCTTTGATTGAGTGGTCCAATTCTTCAACTTTATCCTCCAGTGTTGATATTCTGTATTCCAGTTCATTCATTGTAGAGGTGAGGCTTTCCTCTGTTGTTTCAAGTTGGTTTATTGAGTTTTGCACTTCCTTCTTCATTTCTACTTGAGTTTTCTTCAATGTTTCTCTTTTGTGAATTTATTCAGAAATTTATCGCTATCTTCTTTTAGTTCTTTGTTTGTTCATGTGTTCTTTAAATTCGTTGAATTCCGATGTTAGGGATTTTTCTAGGAGAGTAATTGATTGTTCTATTGCCCTAATGTCTTCATCTACAGCCATCTGTAAATCTGCATAATATTGTGTCCTTGTACTAGGGCCGCTGTTCCAGTTCCTATCCCCGCCGCCACTCCTGCTCCTAGAAGTATTGCTAGGGTCAGGGACACAGGCTCTTTTTCATATCTGCCTGGATGTCACTCAAAAAACTGTTCTAAGGAATCTGCGGGGTGATAGAATACTTGGGGTAGAAGTTTAATCATAACACAGTAGTCTTGGGAGGTGTTAAGGACTATACTAGCTACACATGGAGTTAACCCAGAATTACATGCCCACCAAGTCCCTTGTTGGGGTAGGAGATAGTAATTTCCTTCCCCTGAGGGTACAGGTATAGTGGAGCTGCAAAGGTGGGTGTGAGTTGAGGGTGGGTTTCCTAGACAGAGTCCAGGTCCTGAGACTTCTGTAAGAGTTAGGGGATGAGGAGTTTCCCTATGGCACTGATCAGTTGAGGTGGTGTTATTGAATGTTCCTAATGTAGCTATGCCTTCATAATAGGGAGAATTGAACAGCCGGTTTCCCATGGTTGAAACCTGTAACCTTGGGTAATGGGGGGTCTGTTCTGACAGGATGCTAGCTGGGGAGGTGTTAGGAAGAGAGTTGGGGAGGTGCTGTGAGGTAGCTTCAGGTATTAGAGCTAGCAGGGGATTTGGGTAGCTGGGGATGGGTTTCTGGATAGGCAAGACGGGGTTGGGACCTATGGCTGTTGGGTGGGAGGAAGTATCTCTTCTAATAGTAAAAAGGAGGCCATCATCTGTTCGTTCCTTATATAGTCTAATTCCCCAAGAATACCCCTTATCCCAATCTGTAGCCTTTTTTACCTGCTGTTGTGAATTCTACCCGGAGGGGGTTGCACCATTTACCTTGACACGCCTGTTTATGAGTAGTTTTCCATTCGTCAAATTTTCCCTGCAAATGACTGTTCCCATGAGAATAATTTGCTTTTACAGTGATATAATCCCATGATGAGGACAGGGACCACCAAGTGTCCCCGGTTGTCTCACATCCCCAGTTCTTGCAGTAAAAGTAGGCCCTCCCTCCACATTGGGGGTTAAGATATTTAGCCCTGTGATTGCCTGGGCAGACATAAAAGGTTAATGTACGCAACATGGCCAGGTGCTCATGGGGGCCACATTCCCCCCCATGGGTCAAGTCCCAATCTCCCCGGGGGACTTTCCTTGTCAGGTACCACCTCAGTATTCCAGTTTCCTTCTAAGTCCCAGGGCTCTGGTGCTCCTAAGGCTAATTTACACAAATCTGGATACAGTATAGGCCACCAAGTACCCTTGGGTGTCATCTTATGGGTTTCAAACACTACAATACCCATTTGATTGATTACCCGCCAGGTGGTCAGCACAGGGAGATGGGGATTTTCATAACTGGGGACAAGCCTATAAACAAATAGAATTATTAGGTATCTCTGGAGAGTCTTATTTTTAGAGGGTTGGATGTCCTGTGTAGATGCCATTTTCCAGTGTCCTCCTGGGCCGGAGCTCTCTTGATGTGGGAAATGTGAATCCAAGCTGAAATTCCGTCTACTTTGAGGGCCGTAGGCATAGTCAGGAGAACTGTGTAGGGTCCTTTCCACCATGGTTCAAGGGTCTTTATGTTGTGTCTTCTCACATACACCTGATCTCCAATTTGATAGGAATGAGGCGTTTGTGGACCACCAGGCCGGTAGACTGCAGCCAAGGGCCTCCAAACCTGGTTCTAGATGATCTGGAGGGCTTGGAGCCTTGTTTTTAAGCTGGGGTTATCAAAAGAAGAGGGCAAGGGGGACAAGGTTACATCGAGTACAGGAGGCGGTCCTCCAAAAAGGATTTCATAGGGGGTTAAGCCGTGTGTAGCAGGAGTGTTTCTAGCCCGAAATAAGGCTAGAGGTAGGAGTTGTACCCAGTCTTTAGTGCCAGTCTCTAGAGCTAATTTGGTTAAGGTCTCTTTAATGGTTCTGTTCATTCTTTCTACCTGTCCTGAACTTTGGGGTCTGTAAGCACAATGTAATTTCCAATTAATCCCCAATGCTTTGGCCACTCCCTGACTTACCTGGGAGACAAAGGCTGGGCCATTATCAGATCCAATTACCTTGGCAGTCCTAAACGAGGGAAGATTTCTTCAATCAGCTTCTTCACCACAGTCTGGGCTGTTTCCTTCCTGGTGGGGAAAGCTTCAACCCACCCTGAAAAAGTGTCTATAAACACTAAAAGATATTTATAACCATATTTTCCTGGGAGTACCTCAGTAAAATCTACTTCCCAGTTAGTCCCTGGTCGTGTCCCTCTTTCTCTTTTTCCAGATGGGACCTTTGACCTGGTTGCATTTACCAGAAAACATGAGACACAATCTCCCACTACTTTCTGAACTAGTTGATTAAGGTCTGGGAAATAATAGATTTGTTCTTCTCTTTTTAGTAATGTCTTTAGTTTCTTGTGTCCTAAGTGTGTCCACTGGTGGAGTTGGGAGATTAACTCAAGGGCCGCCTTTTGGGGCAGTATGATTTGGTCCTGATATTTCCATATTTTAGATTCTGGGTCCAAAGTAACATTGAGCTTCAACGAGTTCCAGATCCTGTTCAGTGTAGGTGAAAAGAGCATCTCCCTCCTTTGTTTGTGCTTCAATTTCAGCTTCTAGGTCCAAATGGGTGTAGAAAATGCAGGTACCTTCTGCTGCCTGACGAGCAGTTTCATCTGCCATCCGATTGCCTTGAGCAATCGGCCCCTGGTCTCACTGATGTCCAGGGCAATGGATTATGCTGACCTTTTTAGGCAAGTACAAGGCTTGTAAAAGGGCCACTATCACTTCTTTGTTTTTAATGTCCTTACCAGCCGAGGTGAGAAGTCCCCGCCTCCGGTAAATTTCCCCATGTATATGGGCAGTGGCAAACACATAGCGGCTGTCGGTGTAAATGTTGACCTTTTTGCCCTTTGCTAATTTTAGGGCCTGGGTTAGGGCTTCCAATTCAGCTCGCTGGGCTGATGTTCCAGCCGGCAGGGCTTGGGCCCAGATTATTCTTTTCCCATCGACCACCACCGTCCCTGCCTTACACTCACCGTCTCGTAGAAAGCTGCTCCCATCCGTATACCAAGTAGCATCTGCATCTGTTAGGGGTTGGTCAGCGAGGTCTTCCCTGGTCCCATGTGTCTCCGCAAGTATTTGCTGGCAGTCATGGGGAATCTCAGTGCCTTGCTCGGTGGCTGGTAGCAGCGTGGCGGGGTTCAGGGTGGCAGGGCTACCAAACTTGATCTTTTCTGGATTTAATAGTAGTGCCTGATAATGGGTCACCCTGGCATTTGACAACCATCTTTCAGGAGGCTGTCTAATGATGGACTCCACTGCATGAGGGGTTATGACAGTTAGGGGCTGACCCATAGTGAGTTTGTCTGAGTCTTTAACTAGGGATGCTATTGCCGCCATGATTCTCAAACATGGGGGCCAGCCAGCGGCCACATTGTCCAGTTTTTTTGAGAGATAAGCCACTGGCCTTTTCCAGGGTCCCAGAGTCTGAGTAAGGACTCCTTTTGCCATTCCTTTATTTTCATCTACATATAAGATGAAAGGTTTTGTCAAGTTTTTATTTTGTCAAAGGCTCTCTGGTGTTCTTCAATCCAGACAAAAGGAGTCCCATTCTTTGTCAAGGGATATAGAGGAGCTGCTATTTCAGCGAAACTCGGTATCCATAATCTACAGAATCCTGCACTTCCCAAGAACTCTCTGAGTCCTCTGGCTGAGGTTGGTGGGGGGATAGAGGCTACAGTCTGTTTCCTGCTTTTTGTCAGCCAACGTTGCCCTCCCTCCAGCCTATAGCCCAAATAGTTCACCTGCTGTAGGCAGATCTGGGCTTTCTTTGCTGAGGCTCAGTATCCAAGTTCCCCCAGTCTCAGTAGGAGAGCCTCCGTACCTTGCAGACAGCCAGCTTCCATCTCAGCAGCTAAGAGGAGGTCATCTACATATTGAAGAAGCATAATATGTGGGTTTCTTACCCAAAAGTCAGCCAGATCACGGTGTAGCGCTTCATCAAACAGAGTAGGGGAATTCTTGAACCCTTGGGGAAGTCGTGTCCAGGTTAATTGCCCCGATATTCCAGCTTCAGGGTCCTTCCATTCAAAAGCAAAAATGGGCTGGCTAGCCGGGCTCAATCTTAGGCAGAAAAATGCATCCTTCAGGTCAAGAACAGTATACCACCTGTGACTGGGAGGCAAAGTACTCAGGAGGTTGTAAGGATTTGGGACAGTAGGATGTATATCCTCTATCCTCTGATTGACTTCTCTTAAGTCTTGGACTGGTCGGTAGTCATTTGTTCCTGGCTTCTTTATGGGGAGCAGTGGGGTGTTCCAAGGGGACTGGCAGGGGCGAAGTATGCCTACTTGTAAAAGTCTCTGAATATGAGGTCTGATTCCTTCTCGGGCCTCTCTGCTCATAGGATATTGTTTGATTGAGACCGGAGTTGCAGATGGTTTTAGTGTGACCACTATTGGAGGCTGATTGCATGCCAGTCCTGGGCCTCCTGTCTCGGCCCATGCTAAAGGGATTTTACTTAGCCAATCAGATATACCAGGAGTTTCTGCTATCGGTTCCTCATATAACCGATGTTCATCTTCTAGTCGCAGGGTTAATACCTGTAGTGGAGCCCCATCTTTTCCTTGTGCAGTGGCTCCCTTTCTGGTGAAGTGGATGTGTGCTCCCAGCTTGGAGAGTAAATCTCTCCCAAGAAGGGGATATGGACAGTCTGGGACCAGTAAAAACGAGTGGGAGACCTGTCCTGTACTGAGGTCCACTTTTCTTTCTGTGGTCCACCTATATGTCTTTCCTCCAGTAGCCCCTTGGACCCAGGCTGTTCTGGAACTCATGGGTCCCTTGGTTGTTGTCAAAACTGAGTGTTGAGCTCCTGTGTCTACCATGAAGGTAGTCAATTGCCCCCCTATCTTTAGAGTTACCCTGGGCTCAGGGGGGAGCTCCTGGCCCCAACTCCCCTAGTCCCCTAGGGTCAGGACTGGGGTTGTCTTCTTTTGAAGTCTGTTCAACTTCTTTGGACATTCTCGTGCCCAATGTCCTCTTTCCTTGCAATAGGCACACTGGTCTTTATCCACTCGGGGCCTTCTCTTGTCTCCCAGGTCCCTGCCTGGTCCTGTTCCCTGAACTACTGTGGCCAAAATTCGACTCAACTCTTTGTTTCTCTTTTGCTTTCTCTTATCCTCTCTAGCTTCCTGTTCTTTTCTAATTCTGTCCTCTCTTTCCTCTAAGGTCTCTCGCTTATTGTAGATTTTCTCAGCTTCTCTTACTAAATCCTGTAAAGAGTACCCCTGAAGGCCCTCCAGCCGTTGGAGCTTACCACAAATGTCAGGAGCTGATTGTCCTATAAAGGCCATAATAAGATCTGCCTGACGCTCCTGGGCTGTGGGATCAAAAGGGGTATACATCCGATATCCCTCTATCAGACGTTATAAAAATCCTGCGGGAGTTTCATTTTCTCCCTGGGTTATAGCACGTACCTTTGCCAAATTGGTTGGGCACCTTCAGGCCCCTTTGAGACCCGCTAACAGAGTCT